AAACCGCAATAAATTGCTTAGCTAAACTCATGCTGAAGCTTGATTCCACCAAAAAACCAAATACCAGATGGCTTAACGTAAGAACTTGTTGATGCAAAAAGATCAATAAATCTCTAATTTGTGGGCTGTGGAGCTTCAGCGCAGGAGAATGAAATACTTTACGAATCACTCTTGTTGAAGCTGTAGTGAAGAAGAGGAAGAATCTGCGACAGAAGTACCTAGGCTATCAATCTTTCATTACCTCGCAATAGCAATGGCTGGTATAGATAATATCCCAGAGTTCAAAAGGCACACGAAATTTGTGCGTACAGCTGAGAAGGTGAGAAGTACACCGCAGTGGCATCACAATAGGCTTTCGGGTCTAAGGGCGTTGGCCACTATGATTAGCAGTTAATTTAGCTGATTTCATGACCTCCGCAAATTGAAGTACCTAAGATTTGAGATAATATTTTTTTTTGCTATTCCATCACCCTTAAAAATTTTCATTCTGCTTCGTTGTTAGTCCATCTCTTGAGATACCACATATGTCAAATATATTTGGTACGTTGCTTCGAGCATTTGACCTTCTTGATCTGAATTAAAAAAAAAAAATTATTTACCAAAATTTGTCTTTGACAGTTTTGTACTTACTTTTTTCTAGTTAAATTTGTTTTTATTTATTATTTAGCAATGGAAAATTCAACTTTCACATTTAATTTTAACTCTCTTTGACTCTTCTCTGTTGTCCTTTGATAAATGCGAAAAAGGTTCGTAAATTGCTGCATTAGCGAAATTGCCCACAATCAGTGTAATGGCGTTGATATTTCATATGCCGCAACACAAGCCAAACGCGAGACTCAGTCTACCAACTCCCAGGAAAGTCAATCAATTTCGAATATTGAACAGCGCAATGCAATGCAACGCAGCCCAGCGCAACTGACTTAACTGCACAGCCATATAATGCACACATACACGTACATACCTTTACATACAAACGCAAAATAGTTGCATAATTTAGTTCGAAATGAAGTTAGTTGTAGTTGTAGTTGTTGTTGATGGTGCGCTAGCAATTTGAAATGTTACAGTTAGATGCACCCAAACATATAGATAACATACATTTCAAAATGCATTGGTATTTTTGCGTTGCATAAAGTAATGCCAACTGCGGTTACTCTGGCCGTTTGTGCAGCAATCTGAGCCGTTACATGGCTACCAGACCTGGTAGTTGCTCCTCAGCGAGGAGTGTAAATTTTTCGGAGTTCATCTCTGCTGGCCTTACGTAGGCGGCTTCAAAGTAAAAGAACTGGGCCAAAAACCCCTTTAGAGGTGAAAAAAGCTGCTCATATTTATACATATATGGGTAATACATATATATTTATATCATATACAAGTTTATGTATCTAATAAGCGCCGGATTTTGGCGGCACTATCTCTGTCAACTGCCCATAGACCACAAACGCGGCAAAGGATGTATATTTACAACTATATGTACTATATATATACAACTGCACATAAGATTACGTCCACTTTCAATTTGGGAAGGTTTAAATTAAATTCGATTTTTTATATAATTTTAGTACAGTTATTTATAAAACGGTTATGTAATCTAAAACAATGACAACTTAGTAACTCTTAATTGGTGAGCAAAAATTATAGCTAAAAATAGTATACGGAAGCTGAGTTATTAGCAGAGCATGCTACCTTGATCATGAGTTCGAACCTTGGATACGCCTACATCCAAATATATAGAAAAAAATTCAAAATCGCCTCTGGCTGAGAATGCCAGATCGTTCGGCTTTAGGGTTCGAATACCACAATTTTTAGATCGGCCGATAAGTGTTTGAGCGTTTATAGAGCCCCAATTATCAATTATCGAGGGGCGACTGAAAAATTCTCTGGCTAATAAAGTTTCCCTCAAGTACAATACACATTTTAGATCTTGAATACAATTCGTTTATGCCACTGAAAAAATATTCTTTAGTTCTCTGCTGATAATGGTTTTCTACGGCCGCTTTCATCTCAATGCCATCTGAAAATCTTCGTCCCCGTAAAAATTTTTTGAATTTGAAAAAGGAATATGTCAGCCAGGATCGGACTGTAAGGTGCATGGCCAACTTCTATAAATCCAGTAGCTTTAAAGTCGTCTGGAAGAAACAGTACTTTGCCATATGTTTTCTGTGCCACGGCCTCACGCGCTTGATTCAACAAATTAGCGTAATACTGGCAGTTAATTGTAGTTCCTTTTGGCAGGTAATTAATTAATAATATTCTCTCGCCATTCCAGAAAATGGTAGCCATAATCTTCAACGCCAGCTTTTCCACTTTGATTTTTTTGGTAGGTTTTCCTCTTCTTTTATCTACACCATCGACTCCTGTTTGGATCCGGGATCATACTGACGAATCCGAGTTTCATCTACTATTACAATGCGTTGCAAATTCCATCCAAATTATTTTGGCCCAACTCCAAAAGAGCTTTATAACTCTCCAATCATCACTGCTTGCCGAGCGACGTGAGCATTTACGGTACCCAAAGCTCAATAATTTTTTTCATGCAATCTCTCTATAGCTCATTTTTTGCTAATCTGTAATGCTTCTACTATCTGCCAAAATTTGATACTTCAATCAGCCATCACTATTTTTTCTCCCTTCTTCGTCATCTTCACCGGACTCTCTTCTTTGTTGAAGCAGCCGAGGCGACTTTTTATCATCGTATTTCAAGGGGCAGAGTGCTGAATAATTGATGACATCTCTTTAAAAATTTCTCTCGACGTAGTTCCTTGTCTACGAGGAATTTCGTTGACATAATGTTGTTGCTTGTTCGAGGAGTGAAATGTTAATGAACACAGCAAAAAGTTGTGTTTTTATCCTAATAAGCCGCCCCTCGTATACCAATTTCTGCCGTAATTTATAATATAAATATGGCGCGGGAAACATATATGTACAAGTACACGATCTATCCTTGTATCCAAATTATTCCAATTCTCTTCGACATGCCTTTGAACCATGAGAAGAACTATAAATACGATATTTTCGAATAGAACAGTGCAAGGTTCACTTTCGAGAATATAAGCAGAAGCTCCCCTTGTATCCTACATTTCAAGTAAATTGGAAAATAAATAGAAGTTTTTCGAACAAATATTTCTAAAAATCTTGTCCTGTTAAATGCGAACAACTCATTCATGAATTGAAATATTTTAATCAATAATAATATTTATATATACATAAACGTATATTAGATGAAAGAAAATATCATAAATGTTTCATAACTTCACTTAGGTTTGGTATCGAAAGTTTGATAATACTAAACTCAACGAAATTTTACTGTTATTTAAAAATCTTTATTGGAGATATTTGTTCAAAACTCGAAATTTTCGATCCTAATACGGTTTGATATTTGCTATTAAATTTAATTTATATTAATTTAATTTAGTTTTTTAATTTTAATGTTTTTTTTTATTTAACCTTACTTTATTTTAATTTATTTTATTTAGTTTTTTTTTATATGATTTTATTTTTTTTTATATTTTTAATTTTTTTTTTTTGATTTCATTTAATTTTATTTCATTTTATTTAATATTTTTTTATGTAATATAATTTTATTTTCTTTTTTAATTTTATATTTTTATTTTACCTTACTTTATTTAATTTAATTTAATTTATTTTATTTTTTTTATATGATTTTATTTTATTTTATTTTTTTAACTTTTTTTATTTGATTTTATTTTATTTTTATTTATTTTAAAGCATATTTTGTGTTCCTATAAGTTGATATTTTTTATATTATATGCTTTCACATTTTATTGTAGGAAATTCATGCGTATTCATTTTAATTGTGCGATATCTCTAAATTTATCACTATCCTCTTTCTAAACAATTTTTTATTAATTTTCGAAATCTTGAGGTATCATCTCGAGTATTATTAATCCAATATTTCGAAACTGAGTTTTTAAGAATATTTTTTAATGCTAAATGAAAGAAGGAGAAAAATTTAAAGAAGCGAGTTATCACGATGACTCTCCTTAATTTCTAATATTACAAGGCACAAGTTCAGATTTTTGAACGGCGAAAAGCAATGTTTTCAAAATTCGAAACTTTCAACTAAAGAATAAGAAATGAAAAAATTTGTTCGGAACGTAATTTTTGAAATATTGCTGAGCTTTGTGATGTGAATTTTGATGGGAAACGCCATGAAGTGAATTTTATCTTTCAGTTTCTGGTGAAGAATATATTCTCGATACCTTTTTCGAAATCTTTTCAATAAATTTTGCTAAGAGCTAGGAGCAATGGCTTTAGCTGTATAACTTTTATTCAACGATATAGGAAATCTTCACAGCAATTCCAGAATAAATAATGCTATATGAAAGGGAAATTTTTTTGTAGCTTCGAAATTTTTTCACAATTATCAAGAGTAAATTTTTCAACGGTAGGCTGTCGAAAAAGCATTTGAAAATTATAACAATTTTATTCCGTTAAGCTTTCTCTTCTTCTCATTGGCATCTGAAAATTATACTCTTTTTAGGCGACCAAAACAGGTTTGATTTCCCAAAGTTTGGTTTCATTTTTAAGCTTTCCAAATTTCCTATACGAATATGGTTAATAACTTAATTTCATATATTTTGTTCATTTTGAGGTTGATAAATTTTATGATACTAAAATATTTTTGTACGTGAGCATAGAAAAAAAATATTGTTACATACAATTTAAAGCTCAAATATACACTGAAAATTAAAAATAAACTTTAAAGAAAACGATTACCCTCATATACATACGAACAAGAGAATGTACTGACTAATATGCACATAGATACATATATACCCGGCCCAACCTTTACAGCCGCTTCACCTTCACTACGAAATTCCCTTTGGTGCATATGTAAGTACTATGTCTGTATATATTTCATATTAACATATCTATATATGTGCCCCTTTGCCAAAGCTCAGCTCACAACCCGTGCCCAGCCTTGGGTTACGCCGCAAGCAATCAACATTTACATTTAAACAAATTTTTTCTTCTCTACACAGGGGACATCCGTTGGACGGTCGTCACATCCGACATCTCGAATGCCGAGGAGAATCGTGAAAATTTAATATTTTGCGATTTCCTGCCAGCCAAGTGGTATCAACTACGCGTTTCGGCCACAAACGATGCTGGCAAAACCACCGAACACTATCATTTCGCCACCACAAATCTGGATGGAGTGACTATACCACCGCCACAGGTTTTCCCATCGGAAAATGATTTGATGAACAATCTGATAAATGCAACGAATCCCACCAACGGTGATTGGTTTTCAACATTAATCGTCATCGTCATCATCACAGTTGCCATCATTACCATGTAAGTATTTGGCGACAATGCACAATGCAAATACAAAAACAAGAGTATGAATTCTGAAATGTGTCAGTAGCGAATGCAATGAAATGAAATGCTGTGGATTAGCGGCGGAAAGGAGAAATTGTCAAATCGCAGAGGTTGGAATGCTAAATAACAAGTTCATTTCGCAAAATGCGAATATTACAGCCGCGAGTAGTAGTGTTTGAGCCAAAGCGCACTGTACTCTCAAGCGACCTTAGGTTTTGGTGTAATTTCCCCCCCCCCCTATATTTTGTCATTTCATAGCGAAGATGAGCGCAGGAAAATTGAAAAAAAAAATATATGGAAATATATCAGAGTCATTAGTAATTAGTGAGAGCCTTAATCAGGAAATTATTTTACTGGGCTTTGTGGTGGCCTTTTTATATACAATACATATATATGGTACATGTGCACAAGGATGTAGTAGTCAAAGCGAAAGGAAAATGAAAATATAGGAAAATTAATATCAGCAAATTATTCCCTGCTTATTTGGCAAAAATGGAATATAATTGCTAGGATTGTATTTGGAAATAATAATTTTTGAAAAAAATAGAAATCCTAAAGAGTTCTTTTATCGCTATTTACGACTACCTTTGCAGAATCATTTGAAATATCATGAATGTATATATTATTGTATATTTGAAATCATTTAGAAGATCTAAAAAATACATTGAAAGAGAACAGAGAAGTGGACTATTGCATTAGGAAAATAAATTCTCTGCCGCTAAATTCTCTCCGCAAAACATATATGACTGAGTAATCAGACACAGGAAAACACCAGAAGCGCAGTCGAAATTGGGAAGAATCTTTCCAAACCAAACGAGGTTTCAGACAAGGTGACTCTTTATCGTGTAAATTCTTCATTTTGCGGTGTGTACGCAAATAAAGATGATGAAGATTTGAGTGACTTCGCCATCTTAGTCTCCTAAGATGCCCCCTTAAATTTTTTTTGAGGTTGATCTATGGAATTTGAAGGATGGTTCTAGAGGTAATCCTTAGAATTCATAACTCAAATCTAGAGTTAGTGGATTTCGGTATAGTACATAAAAGAAAAAATTGCTACCGAGGTGATAGGCTGCATGCAAAACAATTTTAGTACTAAATTCCCAATAAAAAATATAACTGAAATTATAATATTTTTCCATTAAAGAAGCCACGTAATTCTTTATTTAAAGAATTTTTTCTGAATGCGATCAATAACAAATGGATTATTTTTAAAGACGTAGAAGTAAGAAGTAAGACATAGAAGTAAGAAATTTTCTCCAGCTAGATTTCACACCGTCAACCATCGTACTCGACTGAAGTTACTATGCTCCTCCTTTAGATGATCGATAGAGACGTCGGCTGCATACTCCTCCATCAAATTAGAAAGGGTTTTTTCAAATTTTGCTTCAGAGAAAATGTCACTCACTACTCGGCCACTTCAATCTAGGCATCCATCCATCCAAAAGCTCAGAGAAGAGACATACTATGGGTTCCCATAATGGAAATGGGTTGATCAAAATCTCTTCTAGCCTAGACTACAGGCGGCCATTTTTTTTCCACTAGTAAGTCCATACACCTCTTGCTTAGGTATAGCATTACTTTTATCATTGCTCTCTCAGCTTCTTTGACTTTAACCAAATTCCACAGAAACTTTTTTTAGAAAGTTACCTGGTTACCTTAACGCTACTGATTGATTACACGATTCTTAGTTTAGTTCCCTGGTGAATCCATTGGCGCCGACAGTTCTTATTTTTTACCATTAAATTGCCTCTCGAAGCATCCGATTTTGGCATATCTTCGAATTCTTTTTCTTTGTGTAGTTTAGCTTGCGTCGGGCACTCTTTCATTGTTGGAGTAGACGTTATTTTTTCCTAGCGTTTAATGGGACAAGGTATTTGGATGCACCCATGTGGTGTAAGAGGGATTTTCTCCGCAAAATTTTTGTGCAAACTCTCAAGTATAATGAGAATAACTAAAAAGCTGTAATCATGTTTTATGGCCGAACTGTGGTGTAGGACAAGTTTTATGATCATAAACATCGAGCGATATACCCATAATCGCTCGTAGCTATTTTCCAATGAACAGGAAAAGTATTTGAAGATTATCTACCATTAAGCTAATATTGTAACGGCTTTATCACAGATTTTTCGAATTAATGTCAATCCAACAATGTTGTCTTTTGATTATACATACAGGGTTCTCCATCTTTTATGTCGGTATGTAAACATTGAATAACTTTGAGAAAAAACAACCGATTTCTATAAGTGATGTATTTTTACTCAGTTTGGTTCCTTAAAATTTTATTTGGATTAATTTTTGAAAATAAAATCAATTAAAGGGGCTACATTTATTAGTAATTACAAAATTACTCCTTTTTTCTGCGTTGGCCATTACCTTTCCGGACATCTCGGGTGTTAAAGCGTCGACTTTAGCACGAATGTTTGCCTCGAGCTCATCAATTTGAGGCTGGTTGGCGTAAACCTTGCTTTTCAGATAACCCCACAAAAAGAAGTCCGGGGAGGTTAAATTAGGTGATCTGTCAGATGGTGCCTTTTTGCTGCGCAATGGAACGAGTGTTTTCAATGTAAATTGTCACTATTTCAGCGCATTGTTTCAGTGTGAAGCAATCCATGGCAAAAATTGTACTGAATTGACGATTCTAAAACATATCTGATACAATCTCTCGGTTGGTATGAAAGTTGTTCAGCGTTCACATACCGACATAAAAAATGAAGCACCCTGTACTTTGGTCAAAGTCCACTAACATTTATCCACAATTTCTTGTGAGGCTTTTTTAAGTTAACTTTTGACACTGGCTCACGTGAGTTCCACGCACCAGTTAAGCGAACACTAACTGAGCATTTGCGCTTTCAAAGACAACTGAAGCTTTTATATCTTCGATTCACTGTTATTTTTCATTGGAAGGTTAGGTCATGTTTTTTTTCGTTCTAAGGTCTAAATTATAATTCATGTCAATTCTTATCTTGGATTTGTTTATCCTGAACGGAGAACCCACTGCGGGCTCATTGCTTCGTACAATGATTTTTAAACAAAAAGTGATAACAAACAATACCATCAGGTGGCAGAGCGTTAATCACAGCGCCATCTTTTGTGGGGATCGATCTTTTTACATCTTTCATAATGATATATTAAGTTTGATTCAAAGTATGCCAGCACCGTTAAAAAGAAAGAGAGACGCAATAGAAAGTATATCGATCGGACGGGGAGCGGAGCTAATTTATCCAGGACCGTCTGTGCCTCTGTCTCTATTAATGCAAAATTGTCGTCAGTTTTTGGGTTATTTTAACCGAACTTGGTACGCAAGTTAACTTTTCGGAGAGAAGATTTCAAAATGTAATGTTTCGTCGTAAGCAAAGACAGCTCTAGCTTCTATCACAACAATCTTAATTTATTCTGCTTACATTCTATTTAGTTTTTGTAAGCAACTTTATAGCTGGAAGATTATTCTTCAAGTTATATCACATTTATCTTAAAGTCCATTGAAATTGAACTGAAAACACTTGACCAAATTCCATTTGGTACTTTTGTGCATCAAAGATAAAAGTTGAATTGGATGAAAATGACCGTTAACTACCCATATCTCCTTTCGAGTTCTTTCTTGCTTCGCAATCAACACACGGAGATTGCGTGTTAATAGACTAAAAGTTTTTCTAACCTAAGCCCGGCTGAGAATGATAGACAAGCAGAGAAACGGACAGACGGACAGACAGACAGACTGACAGTTATGCCGTTGAGCAAAACAATTTAATTGGCACGACGGTGAAATCACGTTTTTCATTTGCACTTTATTGCACTCGAGACGCACACTCACCGTTATTCAGAGCATTTCGTACTTCCACTTTTCATTACTTCGCCTTATGTACTTCAGGCTTTCATTTCTCACTACCTCCATCACTGCTGTCCAATAACTAGTGTATGTGATTTTTGTATTTTTTATTTTCCGTTTCGCCAACTTCTACACCGTTACAGCGCCTTAACAATTAAGCATCGTCGTACGCTGTGCGGTCCCATGGCCGAGGGCTATGAGTCGCGTACACTGCCCGGTGATTACAAAGAAGACCATGACAATCGACGCAATCAGCAGGTGTACAGCGCATCGCCAGTGAAAACGGTGGATAAAGGAAACGAATCAGGTGAGTTGATATTCGCTGTTATTGTTGTTGCGAAGGTAGCAAAATTGCCAGATAAACCAGAAAGCAGATTTGGCACACACGATGTGCATGATGCGGATAAATCTTTTCCGCGCAGTAAACGAGTAGGAGTAATTAAATAATTCTCTGTATTACTGTATGTTTCTTTTTGTGTTATCTTTTCGCTTCCTTTTCACCTTTTTACATTTTCATTTTCTGAATGTTGTGTAGAAATGTACGAGATCTCACCGTACGCTACGTTCAGTGTGAATGGTGGACGGACGGGCGCTGGGGCGGGGCCCTCCACAAAGACGCCTTCACGCGGTGGCGTTTCCGCCTCACCAATGGACTATACCATGCAGTTTAAGACATTTGGGCATCCGGAAGGTGACAATCTTAATGCCACAGCTTATCCGCTTTTACCGGCAAGCTCCGGATTCGGACATGTCAAGTCGAAGTCGAGTTGGCACAAGCAAAGATACTACAATACGGACGGTAGGCTACCTATCATTCCTCTCATGTGTTTTTTGTAGGTTAAACTTATTTGCTATATTTATCAATTCAACACTCCCGCCTCCCCAGATGAATCAACGCTTAGCAAATCGATGACTATGGTGGCGGGCTCCCAATCGGGTCATTCCAAGAAGAGCACACGCAATGATGGCAGTCGTGGCAGTAAGAGTACGAGTAGCAGCAGTGGCGGTGGTGGTGGTGGCAGTGGCAGTGGTGTCGTCGGTGGAGCTGGCGGTGGTGTAGTTGTGGCTGGTGCGCACTGTGAATCCGAGTCCGATACGAGCATAAGTCCCAGTACAGAGTTCTCGAATATGCCAACCTATAGAGTTCCTTGTAAGTCGACGCGCAGCAGCGATGGGCGCGCAGCTGCAGGTGCGTATGGGCGGGGCGCGCTTGCCAGTAAGCCTATCGCTCGCTATTTATACACTTTTACAGATATGTTTCGACCCGACTCGAGCACAGAGTCCAACAATGAGCAGGGCTCACCGGTGGAGAGACGCATAAGCGGGCCGAGGCAATTGGTCGGCGTTGTGCCTGGTGGTGGCGGCGTGAGTGGCGTAGGAGGCGGTTCGGGTGGCAGTGGTGACAAGCGAGCACATCGTAGCAGAAAGCAGCAACAACAATTGCAATTACAGCAACAAGAGGGGAAAGCCCACCAAACGCTGGAGCGGCGAATATGCCCTGGAAGTAACAACAGGTAGTTCAGGTACCTAAACCCCAAACTCCAACAAAGAAAAATTGATTTGTAATTGATTAAAATAATTAGACGGGGCTCATTACATAGATATAAAACAAATATTAAATTAATAGCAATTTAAAAATAATAATAGCAATACTGGATAAATCTAGTTTTGTAGTATTTACATATTTATATCAAAATTTATTGCCAAACTCTTAAATTCAAAATTTCTCAAAAGGGCTTCTAAACAATAACTCACATACATACATATTTACACACACACTCTTGGCTTAGGTTTTGGCTATAAAATATATTCATATTGAAATTAAAATTATATTATTCATAAAAATTTGCTACTATATTTAAGGTTCGGTTTTTTTAAATTAAATTTAAATATTTGAAATTAAAATCTTTTACTTTATTTGTCCTTTAAACATTTTTTTCTTTGTCGCTTTTTCTCTACTTTCCTTCCTCACACACCGCTTTCCACAGTTTAGACAGTGAGGTTAACTCGGATACGGGCACCTCTTTGTCGGCCACCATAGCCGCTGTGGCTGCGGGCGATCTGGGTTTTCGTCCACCGTCGGGTTTTACTGATTCGCGCGAATTTAGCGAAGCTGAATGCGACCGCGAGCAACGTGCACTGGACTTGGAAGTGCAACGTGTTATGGAAAACACCGACGGACAATTAGCCAAGATGGATCGAGAGGAATTGACTTCACTGCTAGCAAGGTATATTAACAAATTCATGCATATTATAATTACCATAAAAGTATTTCATAAAATGAGTAGGTAAGCGCTAAGGATATAAATGCACAAAGCACACTCCAATGAGTTGTGTGACGAGTTTAATTTCTCTAGAATTTTCAAATAAAATAAAAATATTATTAATTTTCTTGTTTAAAAACCTTGAAAGAATTTGTATACCTTTTTTTGGTCTGAAGAATGGAAGAAAGGAAAAAAGATAGACCCATTCAAAGTTTATACCGATCAGAATGACGAGTTGAGTTGATTTAGCCATAACATACGTCTATCTGTTTATATGTAAATTAGTCTATCACTTTTTGAAATATTTTAACCGAACTTGGTACAGAGTTGGACTGGTACATTTAAACGATCATTTGTCACACTGAAGGGTTTTTCAATAGGAGGTCTTAAATTAATATTCAAAGAAGCTTTACGCTTAAAAGCTCGTTGGTTTCGTTGTTTGTATGGCACAGCGCCATCTTGCTGGAAGTAAACGTTGCCTAGATCAAGACCATCTAATTCCGACTCTCGATAACGCAATCCTTTAATTATGGAAAATGCTAGTTTGAATTCAACTTGAAGATGGAGACGATTTTCAAGAATAAATTTTGGGTTTCCCCAGATGAGGTAGTTTTGCTGATTGACGTGGCCATCGAGATGGAAAGGAGACTACATGGGCCAAAATGTGAATGAAATTTTTTGCTTCCGCCGTTTTTTCCAAAATTAAAAGCTTTATTGCGAAAAAGTGCTTACAGATATATTATTCAAAGTATTGTCCTTCGCTAGCGGCAACTTTCACCCATCTTTCCCTCAATTTTCGGATCCCGGCTCGAAAAACGGAGTCCCCTTTTGACGCATGAAGCAATCCATTTTTCCAATTCTTCGAAGGATTGAAAATGTTGATCTGCCAGGCCGTGTGCCATCGAACGGAATAGGTGGAAGTCAGAAAGGGCGACATCTGGGGAATACGGCGGGTGGGCAAGACTTCCCATTTCAGCGTTTTCAGGTACTTTTTGACCACTTTTGCGACGTGAGGCCGAGCATTATCGTGTTGGAGGATGACTTTGTCATGTCGCTCTTGATATTGTGGCCGCTTTTCTTTTAGCGCGCGACTAAGGCGCATCAGTTGCGTTCGGTAGCGATCTTCCGTGATGGTTTCACCCGGTTTTAAGAGCTCGTAGTAAATCACACCGAGCTGATCCCACCAAATACAAATCATAAACAGACATTTTCGAGCGTGAATAATACGAAAACAAAAACAACTCTCATTGAAACGGCGATGACAATTCGTTAGGCACTGTCCACACTCACTTTAATGGCATTATCATCTATGTAAATATTTCAACCAGCCTAAGCCGGTACACCAAACTATCGAAAAACGGCGAAAGAAAAGTTGTACTATGATGGAGACTGATACTTTGAACATTGATGGTCTCTTGCATATTGTCGTTTGCCCGGTTATGCGTCAGTTTCATATTGAGAATCAGTACAGGAAGTTTTGCAGAATTGATAATGCCCACTATGTTGTATTTTTCATTTGATTAAATTCCCATTCATATAAATATGCTAATAAAGCTTTTATTGTTGGCTTAGCTAATTTATAGTACATCGTGCGCTAAGAAGAACAAGAAGAGGAACAAGATGCCTATTTATATCATCTTCTAAGCAGAAAAACTGATATATTCTTTAGGCAATTACTTTAGACAATCTGCTTTCTTATCGCTAAAAGACATCGGGAAACAAAACTCAAAAATTTTTCCAAAATCAAAATTTAATTTCATAGTAAAAAGTCTAGTTTTATTATTAAAAAAATTTTATTGTTCATTTTCAATTTATATTTTGATTTTTTGAAATTTTTCCTATATCTGCAGATACCATGAAAAGAAAGAGCAGGAGCGCCAAGAATTCACCATACATGTTTAATGTTTACTAGAAGTTATACACACACAAGCAAACGCAAATATCAAATGCATTTAAACACTGCCGAGACCACAGTGAAGGCCTCAACAAACAAAAAAAAAAGGAAACGAATGAAAAGATGAAAAAAATATTGCATTTAACATGAACGAACGCTGGGAATAAAAGCAAATCACACTCAAAACGCAGTCAAAACAAAAAAGCAACAACAAATGCATTTACGCACGTACATAAAAAAAAGCCAAAAGAAAAAAAATAATTCAGAATGAAAAAACAAAACAAAAAAAAATGCTGCTATGGTACACATATATTAAATATACATACATAACTAACTAACTAATTAAACTAAAGGCGGCAATATGGCAGCACTGCAAATTGATTTTAATTTATGGAAGTTCTCAATGTGCGTATGTATTGTATATGCAAATGTATATGTAATAAAGAAGTATGAAAATGCAAATGCAAATATAAATTAGCATAAGCATTTACAGTGAGTATGTATGTATGTATGTATGTTAGAGTGAGTGAGTGTGTGCGCGTGAGTGCACTGATACTTCCCCGTATGTGCTTGCACTTAAAATATATGATTTTTAAATTTATACATGCATTCAATTCGACCTTTGCGCATGTTTGCCGGTGCCTACCGGTGGTACTTCTTTGCTTTACAACAAACATGTGTAGTGAAAAATAGAAGGAAAAATATTAATAAAATGAGCGTGTAACGCTTTCGAGGGTGTGCTCGGTTTAATTAAACGTAATGAAAATTGTAATATATGTTGAAGTGGGTTGAAAAAAAATATGAAATTGAAAAAAGTTGTACATATTTATATATAATATAATAAAAAATAGTATAACACTTTAAATAAGTTGCACAACTATGGCCTCGAGGTTATTTGGTTGATAGTTATGTATGTACATATATTGTTAATTGAATGCGTATATTAAAGCATTTCCATTGAACTGAAAGGTAGCAATAAGTGTAAATAGTTTTTGAATAAAGTGAATAAATTGTGTCCAACGATTTGGGAATTAAGTCCCTTTGGATTACAGTTTGTAAATTTTGGAACTTGGAATTTGAAATGTTTACTCTTGCAGTTAAGTGCTCTTTTATTAATTTTTTAAAAAAATTTAAATTTATTTTTTCATCGATAATTCAGGAGTAGCACTTTGAAAAGGAATTTCTAAACGAAATGTTTTTTTTTTTTTGAAATTTATTTTATTCTTTTTCATTTCATATTACTTTATTTCATTTTATATTACCTTTTTTGAATTCTATTTTGTTTTGTTTTACCATTTTTTTTAATTCATTTTATTTTATTTGTTATTTTATTATATTTTTCTTTATAATTTTGATTCTAATTTGTTTTTTATTTGTCCTATTTAATTTTATTTATATTTAATTTTTTTTTTTTTATATTTTTTTTTTGATTTGTTAATTTTTTTTAAATTACGTTTTATGTTTTTATTTTGTGTAATTTTATTTTTGTTTTATTTTTTAACTTTTGTTATTTATTTTACATATTCAAATTTAATTCATTATTTTTATTTTTAGTTTTATGGAACTGTTGCAGACCATATATTTTTTGGAAATAAAGAAAAAAAATTACAACAACAATTTTTTGATGGTACAAGTTATAGCTATAATGCAGTTGGGTTTTAATTAATTCAAATTAATTTAATATAATTTATTTTAAATATATTTTATTTAATCTTTTTAAGCTTCATGCAAAAGTGGTTACTGAATCTAAACGAAACTGGAACACCGAATAAGCTGATAATGTCATGGTCTATGCTTTCCCCACCACATAGTAGGACGGGCACAAAAAGTCACTTGTAAAGTTTGGTTTTCGTTTTAATTGCCTACTAACTCCAAAGTAGTACCTGTTGGATAAAGTGATTCTCCGTTAGATTTAAAGACTGGCATTATTGTTGGTGTTAATAATGGTTCCTAGATAGACGAAATTAACTACGACTTCAAAATTATGACCGTGGGAGCCAAGTCGCGAATGCGATGACTGTTTGCTTAGATCTCATTCACTACCAGACCCATTTGTTTCGCAGAACTAACGGCTCGGTTGTTAATGCCGACAATGTCTATATCATCGGCGTACGCCAGCAGCTGTGCACTCTTATAGAAAGTTGTACCTTTTCTATTGCTCCCCTCTTTGAACTTTTTGTAAGTCGGCGTATCCTTTCTTCGCCCGGTGGTTTGATGTATTTTCTTGTCCTGGACTCTATTATTACATACAACCATATTTCAGTTCCGCCGAAGTTGGTCAGCCTCAATTCTTTGTCCACCCTTGCGCTAATATCGACAAATACGTTTTTTACATTCCGACGAGAGCAGCGCGAACTCATGACGCTTCTGGCGCTCATAAAAGGTATCTTTGGTCGCATCTTGCCTCTCTTCCGTCGGACGTCGGACGCAAATCAGCGTTATGTTAAAAAAATGTTGCTTTGATGGAAATTGTGGCCAGACCTTCATCTATTGTGGGAAATGCCAGCACTGGGCGATGGAGAACTCTTCCAATACGAATACGGAGCCAAATTTTGGCTCCTCTATGTGACCGCGGTAGTGGTTGACATTGCGTACTGCCATTCGGTAAACTCAGGTTCAAAGCCCCGTACGACCAAAATCTAAAAGTTATAAAAGATTTATACAAATAAAAAATTAAGCTAAGTTTTTTAATTACGGTCGCCCCTCGGCAGGGAATGTCAACCCTTCCGAGTGTATTTCGGACATGAAATAAATCATCAGCTGTTTGGATGCGACTTAGTATGAACTGTAGGTCCCTCCATTTGTTGGAAAAACATCAAGACGCAAAACCACAAATTATATGAGGAACTCGGCGGAAAATCGCTTCAACGATTTCAAATGCCGCTTTAGCGAATGTCACATGGA